TAACGGTTTTGTGGGCATGGCTTAGTGGTTGAGGGGTAATGTGACTGGGTAGGCATGGCCAACTTTTTTTTTTAACTTTTAAAAGCATTTTTTCAACCTTAAGAGGTTGCAGAAAAAAATGCTTTTAGAAGCCTCTGACGATCAGGCAACTCAGCTGGATCGCCAGAAGCTTTTAAAGGCATTTTTTTTTCTACAACCTCTTCGGCCGAAGAGGTTGTAGAAAAAAATGCTTTTAAAAGCCTCTGATAATCCCAGCTGAGCCACGCAATCGTCAGAGGCTTTTTTTTAACTTTTAAAAACATTTTTTCAGACAAAGAGGTTGTAGAAAAAATGCTTTTAAAAGTAAAAAAAATAGCCTCTGATGATCACACGGTTCAGCTGGGCATTGGGGGGGGGGTTGGGGAGGATTTTTCCTACCAGTTCTCCGAACCACCCACCGCCATTGCTACCATATCAGGCGATCCGGTCTAAACCGGGAGCATTTCACCCCTGTTTTTGTCCCTTTTTTGTTACTTGAGCCCTAGCAGACACACGGTGAAGAAATAGGTAGGCAATATGCAATGCTAAGATAATGTAACCATGATACAGTATAAGATGGAATATTGGCATGCTAATAGCCAAAGTGTTAATTTTAAAAATCAAGTTATTAATGTTCAAATATAAGCCTGCTGGCTGGCAAAATCTGTTGCAATATATAGAAGTGTACCATTTGTTCATATGCTTCTTGAATTTTCATCTACCGCATAAATAAGAAGAATAGAGCAAAATTAATTATATGATATATGAAACAGTTATTATGGCAAAATGCACAATTTATAGAAGAACTACTAAACAGGATTCAAGAGCTTTATCTAAAATGCTATAGCTATTTTTTTTTAAAGGAAAATATATTTTCCTCTTTGGGCTTATCAGAGATATTGTATGTCTATTGCTGAAGTAATGATTTATATTGTTTGTTTCAAAATGAAAAGAAGATACACAAATATCTAAGCAAGAAGGAAGGAAGGAATTAACAGTTAGGTGAATGTGATACAGTATCTCCCTTTTCTATCGGACAAGCAAGATAGCTTTTCATTATAGTTATAAAAGAGCTACAATACTGTGATATGATGATTATGTAAAGTGATAAGTAGCTACAAGATGGCAGCATCTGTCTTTCTTTCTCCTGCACAAGGCATTACCAAACAGGTATGACATGATCAGAACAGAAACTTGTACTAAATCTTTCATAGTCTGTTAGGGAAAGGAGCAATGGCACCTCTCACACGAACAATTCTTCAACAACAGCAACAAAAAGTAGGATTTATTTGGAAAGGAATTTATTTTCTTCAGCCCTGTGTTTATTTGCTAGCTCAGCTTAGAACTGAGTTCCTTTAAATTGGCTTTTTTACATTGCTTAGTGTTCACTACCCTGCATGTATTATCAGATTTCTGTGAACATACAGTAACTCTTTCTCTAGTTTTTCTATAACACACCAGCTGTCCAGCTCTTCCTTGCAAAAAAAAAAAAAATAACTGTTAAAAGTCCAGGATGCTTTGACAATGTACTTTTCTGACAGTTAATGGTCAGGCAACTTCATTTAATAGTGGGCCATCCAAAATATTTTAAAGAAGTAGAGAAAATACCAACTAAGGGAGAAGATACATACCTTCTTTCTTAAAGATCATACTTTCTGCGTCTCTGTAGGAAATAAATATACTATTAACAGTCTGAGGGAAGCAGAATTTCATAAAGGTTTGGTAAGCCCCTGAGTCTCAACAGATGGAAGTAATGATCTGATTTGATCCTTGACTGATGTATTCACACCATGCTCACACTTATGTCAGGCCTGTAAATAAGATTGAATTTTAGGAAGAGACTCAAGAAGGTCTTGGGCAACTTCCTTCATAAAGGCCCTAAACTCAGAGGTGAAATCCAGCAGGCTCTGACAGGTTCCGGAGAAACAGGAGCGGAAATTTTGAGTAGTTCAAGGAACCAGTAGCGGAAATTTTGAATAGTTTGGAGAACCAGCAAATGCTGCCTCTGGCTGGCCCCAGAGTGGGGTGAGAATGGAGATTTTGCAATAAACTTCCTCCAGGAGTGGGGAGGAAATGAGGATTTTGCAATATCCTTCCCCTGCCACACCCACCAAGCCATGCCCACCAAGCCACACCATGTTTACCAAGCTATGCCCACAGAACCAGTAGTAAAAAAAAATGGATTTCACCACTGCCTAAACTCCAATTTATCATGGAAAATTTAGTGGAATAAAAAAATATTTTTCTTTCCCCCAAAAGTTCCTGTTCCATTCCAAAAACACAGCTATTTCACAGTAGATTTGAAAGCTTCCCTTTTTCTTTTTCATCTGAAGGACATTCTGTAATTCCAAATATCATCTGTAACTAGAAAATGCAAGCTTTTCGCACTGAATGTTCAAATTCCTCCCCCCCCCCCCCCCATTAATTCTTATTCTGGGTGTTTTAGTTATGTTTAGAGGCATGCCTGAATCTCAAATGTAACAAATCAGTGTGGGTTTTTTTAATTTTAAAATGCCAATTACTGAATGTCATTGCACAGATTTTTAACCTTATTAGCTGTTAACAAGCTTTCATTAATTTCAGTGAATACATTCATTTTAGAAGCATCAGTAGCCCTCTTGTTTCTCCTATGGAGAAAAAGCCTCATCTGAAGCATAACTTTTCAAGCACAGGGGAGATTGGATTGTACATTTTCCAACTCTAAAAGTAGAAATTTCAGTAGCTATCTAGGTATTGAATCCCTTTGTAAGTACTGTAGCAACCTTAAGCCATGTCATTATTTGTGCTGGGTTTATGCCTAGTGTTTCTGCGATGTCACTCAAGGAAACATCCCATGCTTTTTAATAATAAGCTTATGCTTGCATTCTGCTTGCAATATACAATACATACCAGTTTATAAAGGCAAATGTCATACTATGGATACTAAGACATTTCTTCTCTTTGAAAACCATAGGAAGTTACTGTAATTTTTTTTAAAAAAAAACTGTGAGCATGTAAGCACATTTTTCTTCAGCATTAGAAGAATATTGATGGTCGAGCCATTAAAAATGTAATAAATTCATTTTATCATAACATCATTATAGACTTGGTTCTATTATATGATTGTTTGAGTAAGCTACAAATACACTACAAATCCATATAGATCTGGATCAGTCTCAGGAGGATGTAACATTAAATGCTCTTTTGACATTTCTAGCATTAGCCACTTAGATGTAAAATAGATAGCAGTTATTTAAAATAAGTGCTTGGGTTTTTTTCTCCTGTATTATTAAAATTATTTCCATACGTAAAGGTCAGAACACATGTAAAAATTAATTAAAATATCTTTTTTTTTTCAAAGAAAGAAAAAGAAATTAAGCATTAAGTACTCTGAGGGGATTGCCCTTTAAATTTTACAATGTCTCTTTCACTTTTAAACCTCCATTAAAAATTCCACTCATACAATAAAGGCTTAAAAGTGCCATAAATGAGAACTGTCTCTCTCCTGAAGCTCTGCATTGACGAATCTTGACGGTCTGAATCACTCTTCTGACTTCTGCTCTTATCTGCTTATCCTCCCAGTAGTGCTTGGCTACAAAGTATACATAGAGTTCAGGTACAGTATATATAATTCTATAAATTAGGTACCCTACATTAAAGATATTGCCCTGGCGGCTTTGCACCAATTATACAGTTCTAGTAAAATGTTCAGTCTCGGTTTCCTCCTGATCTCTTAATTGAATCATGTTAATTGAATCATGCTTAATAATAACCTGGTTAAATTAGTTAGAAAAATATGATCATAAAAGGTAATAACAAATATAGGCATATCTGTTACATTTATTTGGATCATATTTTCCTACATTTTATATGGTGCTTCTCAGACTCAAACATTTTCTCTTTCTCTTCCCATCTCTTTCGTTTATAACCACATCCGTTTTATTTGTACTTCCAGAATTTACACATGCTGGACTTTAGACTGCCAGCCTTATTAAAACTACTCATTTTTTTATCTTTTACAATTAACAGCAATCGGCAATTAATATTACTTATTAATATATTTTCATTCTTACAATTTTAAATCAAATTCGTTCTAGTCTCTTCATTTAAACAAAATTTATAAAAGAAACTTAGATTAAGAGAACGATGAATGAAAATGCATACACAGTTTCTGAAAACCTTTTTTAAAGTTGCAAAGCAAATTGTATAGAACAATCAGTTTTGGTTTTGCCTTGAGCAAAAAAAGGCACGTGTTTCTGATGCATAACATTCATTTTCTGCAAGCTGCTTTTCATTGTATAATTTTTATGCTCTTAAACATTAATGCATGCATATCTATATATAGTTTTTCTTCCCTTAACCTGTGCATTTCCTATCCATTTAAAATTACTGTATGACAAAGTTCAAAGATATTAAAGCTTGCATATTGACTCAGGAAGTGCAAATTTGGTAAGCTTTCACCAAAAAGCAACTGAATCAAAATCCTATCATCTTTATGCATAAAGAGGGAAATGAAAGCAAGAAAAAAAGAAGAGAAAGAAACCCAAATTGAGACTGAGTCCATTCTTATTTATTAAACATAAAAACTATTTTAAAATTATTACCATTCTTCCTTATAATAGGACAGTGAACTGGAAATCTCATAGTGAGTTTTATTTCCCTTCTCTCTGCCGCATCTACCTCCCCACATCTTCTACAGACAATTAAAGAACTGACTGGGGCACAGACAGACTAGCTTATTGGGAATTCTGGCCAAATGTATTTAAAGATGAATCCTGCATGAAAATCTTTCATCCGCTTTGACTTGCATGTATTTCAAATAAACTGCTTTATGCTTCAGTAAAGAGGGCTGGTGGAAAGGGGTTTAACAACCAAGCTGTAGGCTGTCTTAAAGTATAAAGCATAAGTAAAACATAAGTGCCACTAACACAGAGTTCAGAAGTTCATATACTACATACTGCATAATATAGGGCCTCAAAGAACACAGTGTTTTTTTCCCACAGGCACTTTTTAGACATTTGGCATGCGAACCAATGTGGAAGGAGAAGTGAGATTCCCACCAAAAACTGAGTTTTTCCTGATTTTTGAGCTTCTGCTACAGACTCTTTTGAACACTGAAGTCAACTGAAGTAACTCATCCTTCCAGTAAGTACACTTCTAAAAATTGTACAACTGTATACATTTATTTTCAAACATTGTGACAGGGCAGTTGATATTTATGACACTTTACACAATAAGAAGGATTCTGATAATGGAAAGTCCCAGGTGTTCATTGTTCTACAGTCTGCAGAACATTACAACATGTTACAAACTGCTTCATAGGACTGGGACTGGTAGTCAGTGATAAACAACAGGTAGCTGATGCCTTGAAGGAAACAATGAAAAGCAATCTACTTACAACTGATGCAAATGATTTCTATTTGTTTTTGTTTTGTTTTTTTCTATTAAAGAAGAATATTTTATTATTAATTTATTATTATTAAACTTATTTGGTGTCCATCTTGCAGTTTGAGGCGACTTTGAATAACAGAGTTTGAAGGGACCTTGGGGGGCTTCAAATCCAAATCCCTTGCTCAGGCAGGAAACCCTATACTATTTCAGACAAGTGGTTGTCCAGTTTCTTCTCAAAAGCCTCCAATGATGAAGCATCTACAATTTCTGAAGGCAAGCTGTTCCACTGGTTAATTGTTCTCACTGTTAGGAAATTTCTCCATAGTTCTAGATTCTTTCTCTTCTTGATTAGTTTCCATTCATTGCTTCTTATTTTGCCTGCAGGTGGTTTGGAGAATAGGTTGACCCTCTCTTCTTTGTGGCAGCCCCTTAGATATTGAAACACTGCTATCTTGTCACCAGGTGCTTCTTTTCATTAAACTAGATATACCCAATTCCCGCAATCATTATTCATATGTTTCAGCCTCCAGTCCCCTAATCATCTTTGTTACTCTTCCTTGCACTCTTTCCAGAGTCTCAACATCTCTTTTTAATATTGTGACAACCAAAACTGGATGCTATATTCCAAGTGTGGTCTTACCGAAGTATTATAAAGTGGAATTAACACTTCACGTGATCTTGATTCTATTCATCTGTTAATACAGCCTGAGAACTATGTTGGCTTTTTTGGCAGCTGCAGCACCCTGCTGGCTCATATCTAAGTGATTGTCCATTAGGACTCCAAGATCTCTTTCGCAGTTACTACTATTAAGTCAGATACTATCTCTTCTATACCTGTGCATTTGGGTTTTTTTGCCTAAATGTAGAACTTTACTTTTTTTTAGCATTGAATTTCATTGGTTCAAAAAAGACTTTGAGATACTTAATACAAATAATATCCAGAAAAGTTGCTTCACCACCTAACATTATCATAACAGAGACATTTTACCATGACTAATTTTTAAGACGACTTGAAGCTACATGCATTTCTGATCCAGTTTGCATTAGCATATTTATTTATTCAATTTCTATAGCCTAAATCTATTTATAACATGCCCTGTCTGGATTCAAAAGTTAAACAAAGTCAGGACTGAATAATATTTGTATAGAAGTCCTAGGATTGTAGACTAAACTATGAAAGCTATCTGTCGACCCATCCATCCATCCATCTATCCCCTGAAACATAGCAATTTAAGTGGTTCTAAGAAGTTAAGAAGTTCTCAGTTCTAAGAAGTTAAAATATTAGTTTTTTTTCTGAGGTGCAGAAGTATAGTAATATAATAATGATGACCATGAGCAGCAACAGGTAGTCTGTGCAGTTTCACATTTCAAACTAGCACCAACCTCAGATTAATATAGTAGATTATTATATATAGTAACGAGGCAGGCACACTACTATTTGGAAAATTATTCTGGTAGAGTTTTTGAAATTTAAATCATAGACATTGTTAAGCAGCAGCAATCTGAGGAAACTTTAGAAAGAGAATCTCACTGTGAAGGAAAAATAAATATCAGCAGGGAAAAAATGTGTGTGTCATAGATGTGTTTACTCATATATATGTGTGTATATATATACAACATATATATACACACATATATACACACACACATATATATATACCCAACACGTGAGATGGAGCATTCTGCTCCCTTTCGCCTTTCAGCTCCAATCCAGGAGCCCTCAAGCAGTCGCATTCACGAGAAATCTTTGTATACCAAATTTATATTTTGCTGGTTATTTCTTTATATAGAGAAGATTATAAAAGAGATTATATAAGAGATATATAGAAATAAGTAGAAATATATATAAAGAAATATATAGATTATTTCTTTAGATAGAAAAACACTTTCCTCTGGCTCAAGCTGATGAAGGGAGGAGAACTTGTGGCTCAGAAGCTTAATTCAATTGCTTAACATGCAGGAAGCCCAAGTTTGAATCCGAGTAAGGGTATGGCTAGCTGATGAAAGCTAAAAAGCTTGAAATAGATCTATACTAGTCTCCCTTTATTTCTTTATCAGAAAAATATAAATTAAAGATGGATTTAAGTACAGAATAAGTAAATAATTCAGGACATGTGAGTTTCCATCCTTGGCCTTCAGGTGCTTTGGAGAATAGGTTGATCATGTCTTCTTTGTAGCAAGTGGCAGCCCCTTAAATATTGGAACAATTGGAGTAAAATTAATTTTATGAAGTATCCCCTGTAATAAGGAGGGGCAAAAGCTGGAGAGGATAAATTAATACTTTTATAGGTTGCAACCAAAATAAGAGTATAGGACTACCATTACCATTTTTATAATAGAATCCTTTTAATTGACAGCACCCTCTAGTACACATATATTTTAGTTATCTGAACATCCTGAATATTTTTTCCAAGTTTATAAATGCAATGGGATTTCACTGTTCGTAGAATACAGAAGCAATATTATCAACCTTATACAATTTCCACAGTGGTACAGTACTCTATTAAACTAGAATAAAATGTTTGCAATTATGGGGAGAAATAAATACCTACCTTAGTAGAAATCTCATATCAGTTAAAAACTAATATCCTGGAACATTAATTCACACCTCTTAGTTGAGGTAAGTCTTGCAGAAGCCAGCTTGAAGATACTGAGCAGGTCATTAATGTTGTTGACCAAGGGTTATTTCTGGTTTAGCAACATTTAAATGCAATCCCCTACAGCATTTTTTTTAATACTTCCCATTAAGAAACATGTTACATTGGCAGCACATCATTTAGATAAATCTTATTGAACCTGCTGTGAAGGAACAGAAATTAACATTTTACTATTGAAATATTATGCTGTGATATTACCCATCCACACAAGAATTGAGCTAGGTCTGGATTTATGAAGTATTGACCATAACAAGTACATAAAAAGCAAAAACAATATTTAAATATGAAGCTACTCTTTTTACTTTATTCATTCAGTGAAAAAAATAATAATATTGTATTTAAAAACACAGAGAGAATGAAATCCATGCATCCCTTCCATCTGCAGGATTCAACCCTATGTTGGAGGATCAACACTTACACCAAAGTTTTACAGTAAAAATTCTAAACTATGTATAGATCAGTGGTGGGTTGTTCCTGGTTCGGTCCAGTTCTATAGAACTGGTAGTAAAACCAGCGGACGTCTCTGCCCACCCACCATGACATCATCATAGGTGATCTGTGCATGCGCAGAAGCATGCACGCTCACACTGTGAACCAGTAGTAAAGGTAAGTGGAACCCACCCCTGGTATAGATATGAAATGAAAGTATTTTACAGATAATTGTGGATAGATAGATAGATAGATAGATAGATAGATAGATAGATAGATAGATAGATAGATAGGCAGGCAGGCAGGCAGGCAGGCAGGCAGGCAGGCAGGCAGGCTGGTAGGATGGTAGGTAGGCCGGCCGGCAGGCAGGCAGAAATTCATAAATCAGTCTTCCTTGTCTTTTCTACAATTAGATAAAAATGTACCTTTTGGTATTCCAAGGATTTTAGAAAGTTTTTAACAGTGAAGCATTTAGTTATGTTCCATGTACATTCTGAATATTAATAACGCTTTTCCACATTCTAAATATTATGACCAACGATATGAGGTAAATTTATAAATCTATTCCTTTGACTCTTACTGGCAATGAACTGATTCACACGTGCAGACCAAGCTCAACCTGAAAAAGAATTTTTGTTTAAAGATTTAGTGCCTCACTGAATCATTGCACAAAATTAAATATATTATTTAATAGATTTCATATATTATCCATACATCAGAGTATCTTGAAAATATTTTCAGAGGAACTTAAAACGGATATATTTTTTGAAGTTATAATCAATGTTCTTTTTTTCTGGAGGGTAGTATTTTTTGCACATTTTGGGATTACCTGCCAGCATATAAATGTGTGTGTGTGTAACAGTGTGTGTATGTGTGTGTGTATGTGTGAAAGATATAACAGTATCTTGTATATTATGTTTAAAACGATTAACATTCAATGGAAATCATATGGCATTTGTCTTTTCTCACCTACCCACCCACATCTCTTTAAATTTTGCATGATAGGATCATTTTTCTTTTAATTTACATGCATAACAAAGGCATCCCACCATTATAAGTTAAAATAATTACTCGGTAACATACAGAAGAAAACAGTATGGCAAATCCTGAGTTTACCATGCTATCTCTTGTTCCAGATCTACTATAACAAAGCATAAACAAATAATCTCATAGCAATCTTTCCCAGTAGATATGAAGTCTTGTTACCTCCAGGAGATAGTATCACAATACAAGCTGGCTGTATGACATTCTATTTAGGATTTTTTGGGGGGATGGGCGGGGGGGAAGCTGAAACTTCAAAGAACACCTTTTACTGGGCTAGTTTAATACCTTTCTTTCTGCATTAACTGTGGGAGGCAACATAACATTCCACTTTTGGCAACACAAATTTAGCTTTGTGATTTGAATCCATTATTTATCTTTTCTTGTTTTGTTCTTTGTATAGTGACTCAGTAGAAACTCTTTGATTACCACATTATCTGATAGTTTACCAGCTTCCATTGTGTTGCATTTATTAAATGATACAAATCAGATTACTACTTTAAATGTGATAAAATTTACTGATCAAGCCATATGACATGTGGTAGAGCTGCATTAAATTGCTTAAATAATCTACAGGTGATTATAAATCCAAATTATAATAAATCAGTATTTCATCTGATTTATCTC